TGGTGATTGGTGGGGATCTGTAGTTATATGGTGTAGGTGTTGGGGTGTTTTGGTAGTTGTGTGGTGTGTTGGGTGGTGGTGTTGTTTGTTGTGGGGAGTTTGGTGGGGGTGGGGGTGTTGGGTGTTGGGGGGGGGATTGTTGGGTGGGGGGGGTTTGTTTTTTGGGTGTGTTTTGTGGGGGGGTGTGGTGGGGTGTTGGGGTGGGTGGTTGTTGGTGGGGTGGGGGGGGTGTGGTGTTTGTTTTGTTTGTTTTGGTTTGTTGTGTGGGGGTTTGGGTTGGTGGTGTGTAAGAGGTTGTGTGGTGGTGTGTTGGGGGGGGGGGGGGTTTTGGGGGTGGTGGGTTGTTGGTTTTGGTGTGTAGGTTTGGTTTGGGGGGGGGTGTGGTGGGGTTTGGGGTTTTTGGGGGTGGTGTTAGTTGTGGGGTTGTTGTTTGGGTTGGGTGGTGGGGTTGTGTTGGGTGGTGGGTTTGGTGGTGTGTGTGGTGGTGGGGGGTGGTGGGGGTTTTGTGGTTGTTGGGTGGGTGTGGTGGGGGGTTGTGGGTGTGGTGGGGTTTGTGTGGTTTGGGGTTGTGGGGGGGGGTTGGTGGGGGGTGTTTTTTGTGGGGTGGGGGGGGGGGGGGGGGGGGGGGTGTTGGTGGGGGGTGGGTTGTGTTGGGTTTGTGGGGGGGTTGGGTGTGGGGGGGGGGGGGGTGGGGGGTTGGGGTGTGGGGGTGGTTGGGTGGTTGTTGTGGGTGGGTGGGTGGGTGGTGGGTGGTTGGTGTGGTTTGTGTGGGGTGGGGGTTTGTTATTTTGTTTGTGGGGGGGTTGGTGGGTGGGGGGGGTGTGTGGGGGGGGGGAGTGTGTGGGGTTTGTGGTGTGGGGTGGGGGTGTGGGGGTGGTTGGGTGTGGGGGGGGGGGGGGGGGGGGGGGGTGGGGTAGTTGGTGTGGGTGGTTGGGTGTGTGGTTGGGGGGGGGTGGGGGGGGGGTGGGGGGTTGTGTTTGTGGGGTTGGGGGGTTGTTGGGGTGGGGGGTGGGGGGTGGGTGTTTGTGGTGTTGGGGGGGGTTGGGGGGGGGGGGGGGGTGTGTGTGGGTGGGTGGGGGTGTTGTGTTTTGGGTGTTTAGTGTGTGGGTGTGGGGGGTGTGTTTGGTTGGGGTTTGGGTTTTTTTGTGTGTTGGGGGGGTTGTGTTTTTTTTTTGTTGGGTGGGGGGTTTGGTTGTGGTTTGTTTTTGTTTGGGGGGTTGGTTGGGTTTGTGGTGGGTGTTTTGGTGTGTGGGTTTGGTGGTGGGGTTTGTGGGGGGTGGTGTGTGTGGTGGGTGGGGTGTTTGTGGTTGTTTATGTTTTGGGGTGTGGTTTTTGTGTTTTGGTGGGGGGTGTGTGTTTGTTATTTGGGTGTGGTTGGGGGGGGTGGTGGGGGGGGGGGGTTGGGGGGGGTTGGGGGGTGGGGGGTGGGGGTGGGGGTTGGTTGGGGTGTTGTTGGGTTGTTGGGGTGTGTGGGGGGGTGATGGGATGTTGGGTGGGGGGGGGGTGTGGTTGGGGGGTGGTTGGGGGGGTGGTTGTGGTGTGTGGGTGGATGGGGGGGTTGTGTTGTTTGGTTGGTGGTTGTGTTGTGGGTTATGTTTGAGTTTGTGTGGTTGGTGTTGTTGTGGTTGGGTGGTGTTGTAGAAAGTGGTTGTTGTTGTTGTGTTGTGTTGTTGTTTGTTTTGTTGGGTGGTGGTGTGGTTGTGTTTTTTGGGTTGGTGTTTTAGTTGTTGGTGGATTTGTGGTGGGTGGTGTTGTTAGTAGTGTGGTGTAGTTGTTGGGTGGTGGTTTGGTAGTGGTTTTGTGGTTGGTGTGTGGATTGGTTGTGGTTTTGATGGGGTAGTGTGGTATTAGTGTTAGGTGTTTTATGTTATGGTAGGTGGATAAGTTGTTGGTGTTTAAGAGGATTGTGATTTTTGTGGGTATAGTTGTTAGTGTTGGGGGGGGGGTGGGTTGGTTTGGGGGGGTGGGGGTGGTGTGGAGGGGGTTTGGTGGGGTGGGGTGTGTGTTGTGGGGGGGGGTGGGGTGGGTGGTGGGGTGGGTTTGGGGGTTTTAGGTTGTGTTGGGTTGGGTGTTTGGGGGTAATGGAGGGAGGTTTATTAGTAGTTGGGTTGTTGTGTTGGGTGGTGTTGTGTGTTGGTTGAGTTTGTTTGGTTTGTTGTTGGGGGTAGGGTGGGTTTTTTTTGTTTTTGGGGTGTGGAGAGTGTGAGGGTGTGTGGTAGTGTGTGTGTGTGTGTGTGATTGGGTATGGGTGTGTTTGGAAGTGTGTGTGTGTGTGGTGTGTGTGTGGTGTTGTGGTGAGTGTGTGGTGTGTGTGTGTTTGTTGGGTGTGTGTGTGTGGGTGTGGTATGTGTGGTTGTGTTTGGTGTGGTTTGTTGTTGTGTGTGTGTGGTTGTGTGTGGTTTGAGGTTGTGTGTGTGTGTGTGTGGTGTTGTTGGTGTTTTGTGGAGTGTGTGGTGTGTGGGTGTGTGTTGGTGTGTGTGGGTGTGTGTGGTTGTGAGGTGTGTGTGGGTGTGTGTGTGTGTTGTGGTGTTGTTGTTGTGTGATGGTGTGTGTGGTTGGTGTGTGTGTGTGGTTGTGTGGTTTGGTTGGGTGTTGTTGTTTGTGGTTGTGGATGGTGGGGGGGGTGTGTGGGTAGTGTGGGTTTTGGTGGGGGGGGGGGGTAGGGGTTGTTAGGGGATTTGTTTGTTTTTGGGTTTGGGTTGGGGTGTTGGGGGGTTTTGGTTGGTGGGGGTTTGGGTGGGGTGGGTGTGGGTGGGGTTGGGTGGTTGGTTGGGGGGTTGGGGGGGGGGGAGGTGGAGGGGGTGGTGTGTGGGGTGGGTGGTTTGTGTGGGGTGGTGTGGTGTTGGGGGTTGTTTGGGTGGGGGGAGTGGGTGGTGGGGGGTGGGGTTTGTGGGGGGTTGGGGGGGGTTGTGGGGGGGGTGTGGGGGGTGTGTGGGTTGGTGTGTTTAGTGGTGTGTGTTTGTTGTGTTAGTGTTAGTATTAGTTTATATATTATAAGTATTAATATATATATGATATATATATATATATGATAGATATGATATTTGTTTAGGGGGGTGTGAAAGGATATAGGGTATATGATTGTAATGTTGTTATGTTAGGGGGGTAGTTGGTTGGGTTGGTATTGATGATTGGGGGTATTGGTATTTGTGGGGTTGTTGGGGTGGGGTGTGGGGGGGGTATGGGTGGTTGGGGTGGGGTTGGTTTGGGGTGTTGATTTGGTTTGGGTGGTGGGGATTGAGTGGTGATGGTGATATAATAATAAGAAGAATGAAATGTTAGGAAATGATGGGAATGAGGTGTTTGGGGGATGGAGGAGAATATTAAGGAATAAATTGGATGGTAATGGGGGGAGAGTTAGGGGAGTTTGTGTTTTTTTGTGGTATTGTGTATAGAAATGGGTGGGGGATTAATTATAAAGGTTGAAAAATAAGGTATAGGTTATTTTATTGAATAGGAATGGGATTGTTGGTTGGGGGTGGAGAATTGGGTTGGTGGGGTGGTTAAAGGGGGTGGGTAGAGTAGTAAATGGTATATGGTTTTTTTTTGTATTGAAAGGTGTTTTTTTATGTTTGTGGGTTGTTGTGAGATTTGGTAAGGTAGAATTTTGGGGTGTGGGGTGTGTAGTGGGGGGGATTGTGGGTGTATTGTTTGTTGTTTTTTGGAGTGGGGTTTTGTTGGGTTTTGTGTGATGGTGGGTGGATTGGTGAGGGGGATGGATATTTGGGGGGGGGGGTGGGGTTGGGTTGTGTGGGTGTGGGTGGGGGGGGGTGTTGGGTTGGGTGGGGTGGGTGGGGGGGGGGGTGGTGTTGTGTTTGTTTTGGTGTGGTAGTGTGGTGGTTTTGGGGGGTGGTTTTTGTTGGGTGGGGGGGTGGTGTTATTATGAGGGGGGAGTAGAATAGATGTTTGTTGGTTTGTATGGAGTTGTTGGATTTGAGGATTTAGTGGGGTTTGGGGGGGTTGTGTGGTTGGGGTGTTTGTGATGGGGTGTGGGGTTTGATTGGTTGGATGGTGGTTTTGTGGAGGATGGGGGTTTTGGGTGGTTGTGGTGTTTGTGTTGGTTTGTGTGGGGGGGGTGGTTGTGTTGGGTTTATTGGTGTTGGGGGGTTGTGTGGGGTGGTGTTTGGGGGGGGGTTTGGGTGGTGTTTGGTAGTTGGGGGTTGTGGTGTGGGTGTTTGTGGGGTTGTGGGTTGGGTTTGTGGGTGTGGGTGTGTTGTTTTTTTGTTGAGGGTGTTTGGGTTTTGGGTGGTGGGGTGGGTGTGTGGTGTTTTGGTTTGGGGGGTGTGTGGGTGGTTGGTTGGGTGGTGTGATGTGGGGGGGGGGGTTTTTGGGTGGTGGGGGGGGTGTTGTTGGGTTTTTTTGTGGTAGGTTGTGTGTGTGTTGGGGTGTGTTGTGTTGTTGTTGTGGTGGGGTGGGGGGGGTTGGGGTGGGTGTGGTTGTGGTGGGGGGTGGTGTTGTGTGGGGTGTTTGTTGGTTGGTTTGTTTGTGTTTGGGTTGTGGGGTTGGGGGTGGTGGGTTGTTTTGTGTGTTGGGGTGGTGGGGGGGGGTTTGTTGTGGTGATGTGGGGGGTGTGGGTGTGGGTGGTGTGTATGTGGTTTGTTTGTTGGGTGAGTGTTGTTGTGTTTTGTGGTTGGTTTTGGTTTGTTTGGGGGGGGGTGTGGGGGGGAGGGTTTGGGGGGGTTGGTGTGGGTGGGGGTGGGTGTGGGGGTGTGGGGTTGGGGGGTGGGTGGGGGGGGTTGTTGGTTTTTTGGTGTTGGGGTGGGGTTGGAGGAGTTGGTTTTGGGTAATTGGTTGGGGTTGTAGGGTGTGGGGGGTGGATTGGGGGGGGTGGGGGGGGTTGTGGGGGTGTTGTGGGGGGTGGGGTGTTGTGTGTTGGTTTGTGGTTGTTTTTGTTGGGGGGGTTTATTTTTTTGTTTGTGGTGGGTGGTGTTTGGTTTGGGTTGGGTTGGGTGGATTGTTTGTGATTTGTTGATGTTTGTGGGTGTTGTTGGTGTGGGTGTATGGTGTGTGGGGTGGTGGGTGGGGTGGGTGGTAGTTGGGTTGTGTTTGGATGTTGTTGTGTTGGTGGTTGGTGTTATTGTGTGGTATTAAGGTGTTGGGGGTGGTTGTTGTTGGTTGGTTGTGGGGGGTTGTTTTGTGTTGTGGGTTTGGTGGGTGTGGGGTGGGGGGGTTGGGGTGGGGGGGTTTTGGTTATTTGGGTGGGGGGGGGTATGGGAGGGGTGGTGGGTTGTGTTTGTGTTTTGGGGTTTGGATGTGTTGTTTAGTGTTTGGGTGATGTTGTTTTGGTGTGGTTTGGTGGGTGGTTTGTGTTGTTGTGTGGGTATTTTTGGGGGGTGTGGGTTGGGGGGGTTGTTAGATAGGGTTTTTGGGGTGTGTGGGTTGGTGGGTTGGGTGTGGTGGGTGTGGGGGTTTTGGTGTGTGTTTGTTTTGTTTTGGTTGTTGTGGTGGTTGTGATTGGGTTGTTGTTTGTGGGGTGGGGGTGGGTGGGTGGGTGTGTTGGGTGTGGTGGGGTGGGGGGGGGGGTGGGGTGGGGGGGGGTGGGGGTGGGGGGGGTGGGGGTTTTGGTGGTGGGGGGTGGTTGTTTGGGTGTTTTGGGGGGTGGGGTGGGTTTGTGGGTGGGGGTGTTGGTGGGGTTGGGGGGGTGGGGGGTGTGTTTGGGGGTGGGGGGGTTTGTGGGGTGGTGTGGGGGTGGTTGGTGGGTTTGTTTGGGGGGGGGGGGGGGGGGTTTTTGTGGTTGGGTTTTGGGGGTGTGGTGGTTGGGGTTTTTTTTGTGGGGGGAGTGGGGTGGTGTTTGGTTTTGTTGAGTGGGGGTGGGGGGGTGGTGTGGGGTTTTTTTTTGTTGGGTTGTGTGTTTTGGGTTGGGGTTGGTTGGTGGGGGGGGTGGTATGGGGGGTTGGTTGTGGTTGGATGTTTGGGTTGTGGATTATTTGTTGTTGTTGTTGGTTTTAATTTGTTGGTGATTTTGTGGTGTGTGTGTGGGGTGGGTGATTGTGGGTTGGGGGGGGTTGTTGTGATTGGGGTGGTTGGGGTTTTATTTGTGAGGTTTTTTGTTGGGTTTTGGGGGGGGGGGGTGGGGGGAGGGGTGTTGGGTGTAGGGGTATGGGTGGGTGGGGTGTTGGGGGTTTTGGTATTTGTGTGTTTTGTGTTTGTGGGGTTGTTGGGTGTTGGTGTGATGAGGGTTGTTTGGTGGGTGGTTGGGGTTGGTGGTGTGGGTTTTTGGGTTGTTTGGGTGGTGGTTATGGTGTTAGGGGGTTTGGGGGGTTTGGGGTTTTGTTGGTTTTGTTGTGTTATTTGGGGGTGGGGGGTTGGGGGGTTTTTTTGTTTGGGTGGTTGGGGTTTGTGGGTGTAGGGGTTTGGGGTGGGGTGGGGGATGTTGTTTGGGGTGGTTGGGTTGTGTGGGTTGTTTTTGGGGGTTGGGGGGTTGTGGGTTTTGGGGGGTTGTGTGGTTTGTGGGTGGGGTTGTGGTATGGTGTGTGTGGTGGTTTTTGGTTTGGTTGGTTGTGTTGTGGTGGTTTTGGGTTGGTGAGTGTGGTGGGATTTTGGTTGGTGGGGGTTTTTTTTGTGTGTTGTTGTTGGGTGGTGTGTGTGGTTGGGTGGGGGGTGGGGGGGGTTTGTGGTGGTGTGGTGTGGTGTTGGGGTGGTGGGGGTGTGGTGGGGGGTGTGTGGTATGGGTGGGGGGGGGTGTGTGGTTGGTGTTTTGTGTGGGGTTTGTGGTGGTTTGGTGGTGGTTTGTTGGTGGGTTTGTGGTGGGGTTGTTGGTGGGTTTGGTGTGGGGGTTTTGGTGGTGTGTTTGTGTGGGTTGGGTGGTGGTTGGTGGTGGGTTTGGTGGTGGGTTTTGTGGTGGGTTTGGTTGGTTGTGGTGGGTTGGTGGTGGGGTTTTGTGGGTGGGGTTGGTGTGGTTTGTGGTGGTTTGGTGGTGGTTTGGTGGTGGGTTGGGGGGGTGTGTTGTTGGGTGGTTTGTGGTGGGGGGGGTGGGGGGGGTGGGGGGGGGTGGTGGGGGGTGGTGGGGTGGGGGTGGGGGGTGGGTGTTTGGGGTGTTGGGGTGGGGGGTGGGGGGGGGTTGGTGGGGGGGTGTGGGGTTGGGTGGGTTGTGGGGGGGGTGGGGTGGTGGTGTGGGGGGTGTGTGGGGGGTGGGGTTGTTGGGGGGTTGTTTTGGTGTTGGGTTGTTTTTTGGGTTTGGGGTGGGGGTTGTGGGTGGGGGGGGGGGGTGGGGGTGGTTTGTGGTTGGGGGGGGGGTGGGTTTTGGGTGTTGTTGTGGGTTGTGGGGTGTTGGTTGGGGGTTGGGTGGGGTTGTGGGGGGGGTGTTGGTGGGAGTGGTGGGGGTGTGGGGGGTGGGGGTTGGTTTTGGGGGGGGGTTTGTGGGGGGGGTTTGGGGGGGGGTTGGGGTGGTTTGGTTGGGGTTTTTGGGGGGAGGGGGGGGGGGGGGGGGTGTTTGGGGGTGGGTGTGTGGGGGGGTTTGGGTTGGGGTGGTTGGGTGGGGGGGTGGGGGGTGGGGTGTGGGGTGGGTGTGGTGGTTGGGGTTGGTGGGTTGTGGGTGGGGGTGGGTTGTGTGGGGTGTGTGTGGGTGTGGGGTTTGGTGGGTGGTTGGGGTGTGTTAGGGTTGGTTATAAGGGTTTGTGGTTGATGGGGAGTGTTTTGGATTGTTTTATTGGTTTTGTGGGGTGTGGTATTGAATGTTGTGTATGGTAGGATTAGGTTGTTATGGGTGGGAGGGAGGATGGGAGGAGAAATGGATATTATATTAAAGGTGTGTTGTGTTGTTGGTATTGAAGGAGTTGGGGTTGAGAAATAGGGTTGGAGTATATGGGATAGGAATTTATGTTTGTGTGTTTTGGGGGTGGGGGGGGATTGGGATTAGATTGTTATTGAGTTGTTGGTTGGGGGGGGGGGGGGTTTGGGGGGGTTGAGTATTTTTGGATGTTGTGGGAGGATGGTGGGGGGGGGGAGAATTTGGGTTGGTTGGTATTGAGAGTTTGGTGGTTGTTGTGGGGGGGGGTGTGGTTTTGGGGGGGGGTTGTGGGGAGTGGGTGGGGGGGTTTAGGGGGGTTTGTGTTGTTTGTGTTGTGTGGGTGGATGTGGTGGGGGTGTTTTTGGTTTGGGTTTTGGGTTTGAATGGGTTGTTTTGGTGGGAGGGGGGTGGGTTTGGGGGATGGTTGTGGGTTTTTTTGGGTATTTGATGTTAGGGGTTTAGTGGTGTGTTTGGGGTTTGGGTGTTTTTGTGGTTGGGTTGTAGGTAATTTGGGGGATAAATTTGGGATGAATGTAGTTTTTTTTGTTATGTGAGTATTGGGTGAATTGTGATTAGTGTGGTTGTTGGTTGGGTTTGGGGGGGGGAGGGTGGTAGGGGGGGGGTAGGGGTTGATGTTTGGTGAGGGGTTGGTTGTTGGGGGGGGGGGGGGGGGGGGGTATGGTGGTATGTAGTTGGTTTTTTTGGGGGGGGTGTATTGTGGTGGTGTAGGTGGTATTTGGGGGGGTGGTGTGTGGTGAGGGTGGTGGTTTTGTGGTTGGGGTTGGGGTGGTTTGTGGGGGTTGGTTGGTTGGTTGTGTTTGTGTGGGGTTTGGGTGTTTGGGGTGTGTTTGTGGTTGGTGTGTGGTGTGTTGGGGGGGGGTGGGGGGGGTTTTGTGGGGGGGGTTGGGTGGTTGTTGGTTGGGTGGGGGTGGTGGGTTTGGTGTTGGGGGGGGTGGGGGGTGGGGGGGGGTTGTGTTTTGTTTTTTTATTGTGTGTTTTTTGTGGTTGGTGTTGGGTATTTGGGTTTTAGGATGTTGGGGTTGTGGGGTTGTTGGGTGGGGGGGTGTGTTGTGGTGTGATGTAATAGGATTTGATTAATTTTAAAGAAGGATGAAAGTAATTTAGGGATGAGATTTATTGGGTGTTTAGGGTGGATTTGATGAATTGTGAAATGTTATAGAGTGTAGGGGATTGTTAGTATAGGTGGTTGAAGGAATGATTATTAATTGATGAGGATAGAATTTGAGGGGAAGGTTGGGTTTGGATTTTGTGTAAGGGGAGATGGGGAATGTTTTTTGAGGGGGTTTGGGGGAATATTGAATAGGTGTAAATAATTTATGGTTGTTGGAGAAGGATTGTTTTAATTTGATTTATGGGGGAATATTGGATTTTAGTTGGGGGGGTTTTATATAGAGATGTTAAAGGTTAATAAGGTAAAAAATTAGATAGGGTGGTGAGGGATGGGGATGATTGTGTGATGGTTGTGGTGTGGTGTGGTGGTGGTGTTGGGGGGGGGTGTGGGGGGTTTTGGGGGTGGGATGGAGTGGTGTGTTGGGGTTTGTGTTAGTTTTGTTTGGTTGGGGGTGTTTTTGGGGGGGGATGTGGTTTGGGGGTGTGTTGTTGTTGTGTGTTGTTGGGTTGGTGGTGGGTGTGTGGTTGGGGGTGGTTTTGGGGTGTGTGGGGTGGTGGGGGGGGTGGTGGTGGTTATTGTTGATGTTGGGGTGTTGATTTGTTGGGTGGTAGGTTGGGTGAGTGTGTGTTTTTTTGGTGTTGGGGGGGGTGTTAGGTTGTGTGTATTTTGTGGATTGTAGTAAATAGGGGTTGGGGGGTGGGGGGGTTGTGGTGGTGTTGTGAATTTGTTGGGATGGTTTTGTGTTGGGGGAAATTGGGGGGGGTTGTGATTTTTGGGGTTTGGGGTGTGTGGGTGGGGGGTTGTAAGTTTGGATTTGGTTGTTGTTGGGTATGTGGATAGGGGGGGGGGGGGTATGTGGAGTGGGGTGGTGTGTGAGAGTGGGTGGGATAGTGGTAGGGGATAATAATTATTTTTTGGGTTTTTGTTGTGGGGTGTGTGTTGTGTGGTGGGGATGAGAGTGGGGGTTGGGAGTATTTGTGTTTGTGTTGGTGGTGTGGGGGTGGTTTGTGTTGTGGTGGGGGGGGTTGTTGGTGGGGTTGTGTGTTTAGTGGGGTTTTTTGGAGGGTGTGGTGGGGTGTTGGGGGGGTGGGTTGTTGAGTGTGGGTGTGGTTTTTGTGGGTTGGGTTGGGGTGGGTTTTTGTGTGTTGTGGGGGGGGGGGGGGGTGGGGGGGGGTGGGGGTTAAGTTTATATGTAGTGGTGTTGTTGGTGGTTTGGTTGTTATGGTAGTGTTTGAATTTTTTTTGGAGAGTAGTATTGAATTTTGTAATGGTGGAATAGAATTATTGTTTTGGGTTTTTAAATGAGGGTTGTAGATTGGGGGGTTGATTGGTGGTTTTTTGGGTGTATGGTGTTTGATTATTTTGTTTTTTGGTAATTTTTGTTATGGGGGATATATGGGTTTAGTAGGGATTTTGTTGTTTTATGATGGGGTTTGGTGTGGGGGGGGTTAGGGAGTTTAGTTAGAGGTGTTATTTTAATGGTGTTTGGTTTTGTGGTATGGAGGGGTGGTAATGTTTTGTGGGGTATTTGGGTGGTTGATGTGGTGGGGTGGGGTGGGGGGGTGTGGGTGGGGGGTGGGGGGTGGGGGTTGGGTGGGTGGGTTTTTGTGGTTGGGGGTGGGTGGTGGGTGGGTGGGTGTGTGGGGTGGGGGGTGGGTGTGGTGGGGGGGGGTTGTTGGGTGTGGGGTGGTTTGTTTTGTTGTGGTGTGATGGTGTTTGTTGTTGTGTGGTTGTGTTTGGTGTTTTTTGTGGATGTGTAGTGTTGTTGTGGTGGTATGTTGGGTGGTGGTGTGGTTGGTGGTTTTGAGTTGGGGGTGTTTGTGTGGTATGTTTGTATTTTGGGGAGGTTTTGTTGTTGGGTGGGGTGTAGTGGAAGGGATATAAATGGATGGTGTGTAGATGTTGATGGGTGAGTATGAAGAGGATAAGGGAAGTATATGTTGGAAAGGTGGCGTTTGTAGATAGTATGTTATATGATGGAATTTGTATGTTTATGAATGGAGTTATTAAGTTGAAGGGGGAATATGGGTTTATGTATGTTTGGTGTTTAAGATGTGGTGGTTATAAGATGAGGGTTGTTGATGGGGAAGGGGGGTTGGGTGGGTTTGGGGGTGGGGGTGGTGTGGTTGTGTTTTTGGTGGGGTGTGTGGTGTTTAGGAGAGATGTGGGGGGTTAGGTGTTTGTTTGTTTGGATGGGAGAGGGGGGGTTATATGATTGTTGTGGAAGTTGATTTATAGGGGATGTGGAGGTGTATGTGTAAGGTATGGATTGTTGAGGGAATGTTGTTAGTTTTGATTTGTTTTTTGGTGTTGTGTTTGAGTGAGTGGTTGTGTGGTTGTGGTTTTGGGTGTGGTGTGTAGAGGGAGAGATGAGATAGGAGAGAGAGGAGAGAGAGAGAGAGAGAGAGGGGGAGTTATGTTGAGTAGGGAGAGTGAGTGGTTGATGTTGAGAGAGAGTATGTAGGAGTTGTGTGTGGTTATGAGAGAGAGATAGAGGGGAAAGAAGGAGGTGAGAAGAGGGATAGGGAGAGGGAGAGAAGATGAGGAGAGAGAGAGGGGGAGAGAAGCGGAGAGAGGGAGAGAGAGGGAGTGAGAGAGGGAGAAGAGGGAAGAGAGAGGGGAGAGAGAGAGGGAGAAGAGAGGAGAGAGAAGGGGAGAGAGAAGGGAGATTGAGAGGAGAGAGAGGAGAGGAGAAGGGTGAGAGAGAGGGGAGAGAAGGAGAAGAGGAGTGTAGTAGGTGGGAGTTGAGATGGGGAGTGAAGAGAGGGTGTGAGAGGAGTGAGAGGGAGAGAGTAGTGAGAGATAGGGAGTGTAGTAGGTTGTGTAGGGGGTAATGTTTATTTGTTTGTTGGGTGGTGGTGGTGTTTTATTAGGGGTGGGTGTTGGGAGGGTTGTTGGGGTTGGGGAGTTGGTTATGGTTGTGTTTTTTGGGAGGGTGGTGTGGTTTGATGGGTTGTGGGGGGTGTGGTTGGTGTGGTGGGGTTTGGGGGTGTTGGTGGGGGTGTTGGGGGGGGTGTGGGGGTAGGGTTTGGGGGGGTGGTGTTTTGTGGGTGGGGTTGGGTTGGATTATGGGGGTAGGGGTGGGTGGTGGTGTGGGTTGTTTGGGGTGGGGTTGTGTTGGGGGGTTGGGTAGGTTGGGGGGGTGTGGGGGGGGGGGTGGGGGGGGGTGGGGTTTGTGGGGGGTGGGGGGGGGGGGTGTTGTGGGGGTGTGGGGGGGGGGTGTGGGTGTGTGTTTTTTAGTGTGTTTGTGTGTTTGTTTTGTTGTTTTTGTTGTGTGGGGGTGTGTGTGTGTGTGAGTGTTTGTGGTGTGTGTGTAGTGGGGGGGGGTTGGGTTTGGGGTGTTGGGGTGGGGTTTGGTGGGGTGGGGGTGGGGGGTGGTGGTGGGGGGGGTTGGTTTGTGGTGGTTGGGGTGTTGGGGGGGGGGGGGGGGGGGGGGGGGGGGTGGGGGTGGGGTGGGGGGTGGGGGGGGGGGGGGTTGTTAGGGTTGGTGGGGTGGTGGTGGTGGTGTTGGTTGGTTGTTGTAGTTGGTTGTGTTGGTTTTGTTGGTTGGTTGGGTGGGTTGTGTGTTGTGTTGTGTTTGTGTTGTTGGTGGGTTGTGGGGTGTGGGGGGGGGGGGGGGGGGGGTGGGGTTGTGTTTGGGGTTGGTTTGTGGGGTTTTTGTAGGTGTGGTTGGGTGGTTGTGTTGGGTTGGTGGGGGGTGGGTGTTTGGGGTGGGGGGGTTTTTGGGGGGGGGGGTGTGGTTGTGTTTGGTGTGTTGGGGGGGGGGTGTGGGTTGGGGGGGGGTGGGGTGGGGGGGGGGGGGGGGGTTGGGTTTGGGTGTTGGGGGGGTGTGTGTGGGTTGGGGGGTTTGTTGTGGGGTTTGTTTGGTTGTGTTGTGGTGGGGGGGGGGGTTTTGTTGGTTTTTTGTGGGTGGGGGGGTTGGGGAGGGGTGTTGGGGGTTGGGGTTGGTGTGGGTGTGGGTGGGGGGGGTGGTGGGGGTGGGTGGTGGGGGGGGGGGAGGTGTGGTGTTTGTTTGTGGGGGTGGTGGTTGGTTTGGGTTTTGGGGGTGTTTTTTGGGGGGGTGGGGGGTGGGGGTGTTTGGTGGGTGTTGTTGTGTGGTTGGTTGGTGGTGGGGTGGTGGGGGTTTTTGTTGGTTTGTGGTGGGGTTTGGGGGGGTGGTGGGGGGTGGTGTGTGGTTGTGGGGTGGTTTTGGTGGGTGGGGGGTTGGTTGGTGGTGGGTGTGGGTTGGGGTGTGTGGGGTGGTTGTTGGGTTTGGTGGTGGGGGGGGGGGGTGTGTGGGGGTGGGGTGGGTTGGGGGGTTGGGGGGGTGGTGTGTGGGGGGGGTGTGGGGTTGGGTGTTGGGTTGTGTGGGGGTGGTGGTGTGGTGTTTGTGGTGGGTGTTTGGGGTTTGTGGTGGTTGGTGGGGTGTGGGGGTGTGGGGGTGTTTGTTTTGTTGTGGTGTGGGTGTTTTTGTGGGGGGGGGGGGGGGGTGGTGTTGTGGGTGTTGGGGGGGGTTTGGGTGGGGGGGGTGTGGGTGGGGGTGGTTGGGGGTTGGGGTTGGGGGGGGGGGGGGTTGTGGTGGGGTGTTGTGTTGGTGTGAGGGGTGTGGGGGTGGTGTGGTGGTGTTGTTGGGGGGGGGGGGGGTTGGGGGGTGTGGTGTGGGGGGGGTGGGTGGGTGGGTTTGGTGGTTTTGGGTGTTTGGGTTGTGGGGTGGGGGGGGGGGTTTGGGGGGTGGGGGGGGGGTGGGGGGGGGGGGGGTTGTTGGTGGTTGGTGTGGGGTGGGGTGTGGGTGGTGTGTTTGGTGGTTTGTTTGTTGGGGTGTGTTGTTTTTTGTGGTGGGGGGTTGGTTGGTTTGGGGGGGTGTTGGTTGGGGTGTTGGGGGGGGTGGTGTGGTGGGTGGGTGTGGGGTGTGGGGGTGGGGTGGTGGGGTGGGGGGGGGTGGGGGGGATGTGGGGTGGAAGAGGGTTTTAGGGTAAGGTTGTTGTTTAGGGGTTATTTTATCTTGGGTGGTGTAAGGGGGTAGGTTATTGAGGGTTGTTGGGGGTGGGGGTATGATGGGGTTTATAGGGGGGTTTGGGGTGGGGGGTTTTGGTTGGGGTGGTAGGGTTGTGTGGGTGTGTGTGGGAGGGTTTGGTGTTGGGTTTTGTTGTTTTGGGTTTTGTGAGGGGTTTGTTTTGATTTTTTTTGTTGGAGTGTTGTGTTATGTGTTATTGGGGTTGGTGGGGTGGGGTGTTGGGGATGTTGTGTTTTGTGGTGGTTTTGTGTGTGTGAGTATGGTGTTGGTGGGGTTTTTGTGGGGTTTGTTGGATGTTGTTGTTTTGGTATGTTTGTTGTGTGGGGGGTGTATGGTTGGGTAGGTTTGGGGTGTGGGGGTTGGTGTGGGGTGGTGGGGTGGGGTGTTGTGTTGGGTGTGGGGTTGGGGTGGGTGGGGGGGGGGGGGGGGGGGGGGGGGGTTTGTGTGGATGTGGGGGGGGGGGTGGGTGTTGGGGGTGGGGGGGTTGTGTTTGGGTGTTGGTGGGGGTTGTGGGGGTGGGTTTTGGATGTTTTGGTTGATTGTGTGTTTTGGTGGGGATGGGGAATTGGTGGTTGGGGTTTTGGGGGGTGGTGTTGGTTTTGTGGTTGGATTGGGTGGGGTGGGGTGGGGGGGGGGGGTGTGTTGTGTGGGGGGTGGGGTTTGGGGTGTGGTGGGGTTGGTGGGGTTTTTGGTGTAGGGTGGGTGGGTGGTGGGTTTGGGTGAGTGTTGGTTTTGGGTTTGGGGTTGGGTTGTTGGGTGGGTGGATGTTTATGGTTTGGTGTTGTTTTGGGGGTGGGGTTGGGTGGGTGGGGGTGGGGGGTGTTGGTGGGGTGGGTTTGTTTTGGTGGGTGGGTGTGTGGTTGGTGGTGTGGGGGGGGGGGGGGGGGGTGGGGTGGGGGGGGGTGGGGGGGGTTTGGGGGGTGGTGGGGGTGGTGTTTGGGTTTTTTGGTGGTGTTTGTTGGTGTTGTGGTTGGGTGGGGGGGGGGTGGGGGGGGGGGTGGGGGGGTGGGGTGGGTGGGGTGGGGGGGGTGTTGTGGGGTGGTGTGGGGGTTGTTGGGTGGGTTTTTGTGGTTGGGGTGGTTGGGGGGGGGTGGGGTGGGTTTTTGTGGTGGGGTTGTGGGGGTGTTTGGTGTTGGTTGTGTGTGGTGTGGGGGGTGGTGTGGGGTTGTTTGTGTGTGTGGGTGTGTGTGTTTGGTGTGGGTGGGGGTGGTGGGGGGGGTTTGGGGGGTGGTTGGGGTGTGGGTTGGGTGTGGGGGTGGGTTTTGGTGTGTTGTGGTGGGTGGTTTTTTGGTGGGTTTGGTTGGTGTGTGTGGTGGTGGTGGGGGGGGTGGGGGGGGGGTTGTGTTTGGGGGTTGGGGTGGTGGGGGTGTGGGTTTGGTTGTGGGGGTGGGGGGTGGGGGGGGGTGGGTGTTTGGGGGGTTGTGGGGGTGGGGTGTTGGGGGTTGGGGGGTTGGGGGGTTGGGTGTTGGGGGGTGGGGGTTGTGGGGTTGGGGGGTGGGGGTTGGGGTTGGGGGTTGGGGGGGGGGGTGGTGGGGGGTTGGGGGGTTGGGGGTTGGGGTTGGGGGGTTGGGGGTGGGGTTGGGGGTTGGGGGTTGGGGGGTTGGGTGGGTTGGGGGGTGGGGGTTGGGGGGTTGGGGGTTTTTGGGGGGGTTGGGGGGGTGGGGGGTTGGGGGGTTGGGGGTTGGGGGGTTTGGGGGGGTTGGGGGGTTGGGGGGTTGGGGGGTGGGGGTGTGTGTGGTGGTGTGTGGGTTTTGGTTGTGTGTGTGGTTTGTTTGGTTGGGTTGTGTTGTGTGGTGTGGTGGTTGGGTGTGGGTGTGGGGTGGGGGGTTTGTTGGGTTGTGGTGTGTGTTTTGGGGGTTGTTTTGTGTGTGGGGTGGTGGGTGTGGGTTGGGGTGGGGGGGGGGGGGGTTGTGGGGGTGGTGTGGTGTTGGGTGGGGTGGGGGGGTTTTGGTGGGGGGGTGGTTGGTGTGGGTGGGGGGGTGGGTGTTGGGTTGGTGTTTGTGTGGTGGGGTTTGGTGGTGGGTTTTGGTGTGGGGTTTGGTGGTGGTTTGGTGGTGGGGTTGGAGTGGGTTTGGTGGTGGGGTTTGGTTGGGGGTGGGTTTGGTGTGGGGTTGGTGTGGTTGGTGGTTGGGTTTGGTGGTGGGGTTTGGGTGGGTGGGGTTTGGTGTGGGGTTGGTTGGTGGGTGGTGGTGGGGTTTGGTTTGTGGGGTATTTTGTTGGTGTTGGGGTGGGTGGGGTTTGTTGGGGGGGGTGGGGTTTGTGGGGTGGGGGTTGGTTGGTTGTGTGGGTGGGGTTTGGTGGGTGGGGGGGGGGGGTTGGGGGTGGGGGGGGGGGGGGTGTGTGGGGGGTGTGTTGGGTTGGGGGTGGGGGGTGGGTGGGTGGTGGTGTTTTTTGGTGGTTTTGTGTGGGGGTTGGAGGGGGGGTGTGGTGTTGTGTTGGTGGTTGGGTGTGGTGTGTGGGGTGGTGGGGTGGTGGGTGGTGGTGGGGGGTGGGTGTGTGGGGGGTTTGGTGTGAGTGTTGTGGGTTTGTGTTGTTTGTGTTTGTTATGTTTTTTGGGGTTTTTGGGGGGTGTTTGGGGGGTGGGTGGGGTTGGTGGTTGTTGGGTTGGGGGGGGGTGGGTTTGGGTGTTGGTTTTGGGGTTGGTGGGGTGTTGGTGGGGGGGTTGGTGGGGGGTGTGTGGGGGGGGGTTTGGTGGTGTGGTGGGGTGTGGGGTGGGGGGTGTGGTTTGTTGGGGGGGTGTTTGGGGTGGGGGGGGGTTTGGGGGGGGGTTGGGGTGGTGTTGGGGGGTGTGTGGTGTGGTGTGGGGTGGGGGGGGGGGGTGTTTGGGTGGGGGGGGTGGGGGGGTGGGTGGGGGTTGGGTGGGGGGGGGGGGTGGGGTGGTGGGGGGGTGTGGGGGTTGGGGGGGTTGTGGGTGGGGTGGGTTGTGGTGGGGGTGGTGGTGGTGGTGTGGGGGTGGGGGGTTTGGGGTGTGTGTGGTTGGTTTTGGGTGTGGGGTGGGGGTGTGGGTGGTTTGTGTTTGGGGTGGGGGGGGGGGGTTGGTTGGTTGTTGGGGTGGTTTTGGGGGTTGGGTGGTGTTTGGGTTTTTGGTGTGGTGTTGTTTGGGGGGGGTGGGGGGTGGGGGGTTGTTGGGTGGGGTGGTTTTTTGGGTGTTGGGTGGTTGTGTGGTGTTGTGGGTGGGGTGGGGGTGGGGGGGGGGGGGTGGGGTGGTGGTGGGGTGTGGGTGGGGGGGTGGGGTGGGGGGGGGGGGGGGGGGTGGGGGGTGGGGGGGGGTGGGGGGGTGGTTGGGGGGGGGTGTGTTTTGGGTTGGTTGTTGGGGTGTATTGAATGTTGGATTGGGTTGGGGGGGTTGGGGGGTTGGGGGGTGGGGGTGGGTGGGGGTGTTGGGGGGGTGGGTGTTGGGGGGTTTTTGTGGGGGGGTGTGGGTGGGGGGGGTTGGGGGTGGGGGTGGGGGTTGTTGTGGTTTGGGGTGGGGGGGGGGGGGTTGGGGGGTGGGGGGGGGGTTTGGTGGGGGGGTGGTTGGGTGTTGGTGGGGGGGGGGGGGGGTGGTGTGTGGGTGTTGGGGTTTTTTTTTAGGGTGGGTGTGTTGGTGGGGTTTGGGGTTGTGTTGTTTGGGTTTGGGTGTGGTGGGGGTTGGTGTGGTGTGGGGGGGTGGGTGGGGGTGGGGTTGGGTTTGGGTGGGGTGGGGTGGGTTGGGGGGGGGGGGGGTGGTGGTTGGTGTTGGTGGTTGTGGGGGGGGTGTTTAATGGGGGGTGGTGGGGGTTGGTGGGGGGGGGGGTTGGTGGGTGGGTGTGGTTGTTGGTTGGGGTTGGGGGGTTGGTTTGGGTGTGGGGGTTTGGGGTGGTTTTTGTTTGTGGGGGGGTGGGTGGTGTGGGGTGTGTTGTGGTGTGGTTGTGTGGTTGTGTTGGGGGGGGGGGGTTTGTGGGGGGGTGGGGTGGGTGTTGTTGGGTGGGGGTGGTGGGTGTGGTTTGGGGGGGGTGTGGGGGGTGGGGGGGTGTGTGTGTGGAGTGGGGGGTGGGGGGGGGGTGGGGGGGGGGTTGGTGGGGGGTGGTGTGGGTGTGGGTTTGGGGGGGGGGGGGTGGTGGTTTGGGGTGGGTGGGTTTTTTTTTGTTGGGTGGTGGTGTGGTGGGGGGTGGGGGGGTGGGTGGTTGGTTGGGGTGTGTGGGGGTGTGGGGGTGGTGGGTGGGGGGGTTGTAGGGGTGTGTGTGGTGGTGTGTTGGGGTTTTGGGGGGGGGGGGTGGGGTGGGGTTGGGGGTGGGGGTTGGGGGGTGGGGGGGGGGGGTTTGTTGGTTGTTGGGTGTGTTGGGTGGGGGGGTGTGGTGGGTGTTTGGGTTGTTGGGGTTTTTGGTGGGTGGGGGGGGGTGTGGTTTTGTGTTTTTGGGTGTGGTTTTTTGTTGTGTGGGGTGGGTGTGGGTGGTTGGGGTGGTGTGGTGGTTGTGTGGTGTGTGTTGGGGGGGGGGGGGGGGGTTTGTGGGGGGGGTGGGGTGGGTTTGTTGGGGTGGGGGGGGTGGTGTGGGGTGGTTGGGGGGGGGTGGGGGGTGGGGGGGGTTGGGGTTTGGGGGGGTGTGTTGTGGTGGGTGTGTGTTTTGGGGGTTGGGTGGTGGGTGTGTGTTGGGGGTGGGTTTGGTGTGTGGGTGGGTGGGGGGGGTGGTGGGGGGGTGTGTGGGTGGTGGGGGGGTGGGGTGGTGGGGGGGTGTGGGGTGGTGTGTGTTTGTGGGGGTTGGTGGGGGTGTGTGGGGGGGGGTTGGTGGGGGGGGGGGGGTGTTTTTGTGGGGTGGGGGGGGGGGGGGGGGGGGGGGGGGTTGGTGGGGGTGGTTGTGGGTGTGGGGTTTTTGGGGGGGGGGTGGGTTGGGGGGGGGGGGTGGGTGGGGGGGGGGTTGGGGGGTGGGGGTGGTTGGGGTGGGGTTGGTGTGGGTGGGGTGGGGGGGGGTGGGTGGGAGTGGTGTGGTGTGTGGGTGGTTGATTATTTTTTTGGTGGGGGGTGGTTTTTGGGTGTGGGGGGGTGGGGGTGGGGGGGTGTGGGGTTTGTGTTGGGGGGGGGGTGTGGTGATGTGTGGTTTGGTGGTGGGGGGGGTTGGTGGGGGGGGGGGGGGGGGGGTGGGGGGGGTGGGGGTGTTTGGGGTGTGGGTGGGTGTGGGGGGGGGGTGGGGGGGGGGTGGGTGGTGTGTGTGTGGTTAGGGTGGTTTGTGGGGTTGGGGGGGGGTGGGGTGGGTTGTTGTGTTGTTGGGGGGGGGGGAGGGGGGGGGGGGGGGGGGGTTGGGTGTGGGTGGGGGGGGGGGTGGTGTGTGGTGTGTTTGGTTTTGTTGGGGTGTGTAGTGGGGTTGGGGTTGGGTTGGAGGTGGGGTTGGGGGTTTGGGTTGTTTGTGTGGTTGGGGGGGGTGTTGTGTTGGTGTTTTTGTGTGTTGTGGGGGGGGTTTTTGTGGGGTTGTTTGGTTGGTGGTGTGGATTGGGGTGTGTTGGGTGTGGTTGGGGGTGTGGGTTGGGGTTTGGTGGGGGTTGGTGGGGGTGGGGTGGGGGGGGTGGGTGGGGTTTTGTGGTTGTTTTTTTTTTGGGGGGTGTGGGTGGTTGTGTTTTGGTGGGGTGGGTTTTTTTTGTGGGGGGTGGTGGGGGGGGGGGGGTTGAGGGTGGGGGGGGGGGGGGGGGGGGGTGGGGTGTGGGGTGGTGGGTGGGGTTGGGGTGGGGGGGGGTGGTGGGAGGTGGGGGGGGTGGGGGGGGGGGGGGTGGGTGTTGGTGGGGGGGGGGGTGGGTGGGTGTGGTGGGGGGGGGGTGGTGGGGGGGGTGGGGGGTGTTGTGGTTGGTGGTGGTGTGTGGTTTTGTTGTTGGTGGTGTTGTTGGTGGTTGGTTGTGGTTGGGTGTTGTTGTTGTTGGGGTGGTGTTGTGGTTTGGTGTGGTGTTGTTGTGTTTTTTTGTGGTTGGAGTGGTGATGTTGGGGGTGTGTTGTGGATGGTTGTTTTTTGTGGTTGTGGTGTTGTTGTTGGTTTGGGGTTTTTTGTTGTTGTGTGGTGTTTGTTGTTGGTGTTGTGGTTGGTTGGTGTTGTGGTTGGTGTTTATGTTGTTATGGGGTTTTTTGTGGTTGTTGTAGGAGTGGTTGGGGGGTTTGTTGTGGTTGGGGAGTTTTTGTGGTAGGGGGGTTTTTTTTTGTTGGGTGTTGTTGTGGTGGGGGGTTTGTTTTGGGTTGGGGGGGGGGGGTGGATAGGGGGTGGGGGGGTGTGTGTGGGGGTTTTTTGTTGGGGGGGTTGGGGGTGTGGTGTGGGGGGGGTGGGTTGGGTGGTGGGGGGTTGGGGTGTGGGGGTTTGGTGGTGTGGTTGTGTGTTTGGTTGTGTGGTGGTGTGTTGTTGGTTTGTGGTGTTGGTGGGTGTGGTGTGGTGGTGGTTGTGTGGGTGGGTGGTGTGGGTTGGTGGGGGGGGTTGGGGGGGGTTGGGTGGGGTGTGTGTTGGGGTGTGTGTGGTGTGTGTTGGTGTGTGTGTGGTGGTGTTGGTGTTGTGGTTTGTGTTGAGTGTGTGGTTTGTGTGTGGTGGTGTGTGGGGTGTGTGTGTGTGTGTGTTGGTTGTGTTGTGTGTGTGGGGTGGGGTGTGGTGTGTGTGTGTGTGTGGTGTGGTGTGTGTGTGTGTTGGTGTTTTGTGTGTGTGGTGTGGTGTGGTGTTGTGTGTGTGTTGGTTTTGGTGTTGTGTTGTGGTTTGTGTGTGGTTGTGTGTGTGTGTGTGGTTTGTGGTGTGTGTGGGTGTGTGGTGGTGTGTGGTGGTGAGTTGTGGGGTGTGTTTGGTGTTGTGTGTGTGTTGTGTGTGTGGTGTGTGTGGTGTGTGTGGTGTGTGTGGTTTTGTGGTGATGGGTGTGTGTGGGGTGGGGGGGGGGTGGGGGGGTTGTGGGGGGGGTTTGGGTGGGGGGTTGGGATTGGGGTTTTGGGTTGTGGTTGGGTGGTGGGGTGTGGGGGGGGGGTGTGGGTGGGTGGGTGGTGGTTGGGGGTGGGTGGGGGTGGGTGGGGGGTTGGGGTGTTGGTGGGTGGTTGGGGGGGGGGGGGGGGTGGTGGTGGGGGGTGGGTGGGTTGGGTGGGGGGTTGGTGGTGGGTGGGGGGTTGTGGGGGGTTGTTGGGTGGGGGGGGTGTGGGGGGGGGTTGGGGGGGGAGGGTTTGTGGGGGGGGGTTGTGGGGGGGGGTGTGTGGGTTGGGGGGGGGGGGTGTGGTTGTGTGTGTGTGGTGTGTGTGGTGTGTGTGTTTGTTGTGTGTGTTGTTGTTTGTGTGTGTGTGTGTTGGTGTGTGTGGTGTGTTTTGGTGTGGGGGGGGTTGGGTTTGGGGTGTTGGTGGGGTTGGTGGGTGGGGGTGGGGGGGGGTGGTGGTGGGGGGGGTGGGGTGGTGGGTGTTGGTGTGTGGGGGGGGGTGTGGGGGGGGGGGGGGGGTGTGGGTGGGGTGGGGGGGGGGGGGGGTGGTGGGGGGGGTTAGGTGTTGGGTTTGGTTGGGGTGTGGGTGGGGGGTGTGTTGGTTGTTGTTTGTTGTTGGGTTGGTTTGTTTGGTTGGTGGGGGGTGGGGTTTGGTGTTTGTGTTTGGTGTTGTTGTGGTTGTTGTGGGTGTGGGTGGGTGTTGGGGGTTGGGGGGGGGGTGTTGGGGGTGTGTTTGGGGGTGGTTTGTGGGGGTTTTTGTTGGGGTGTGGGTTGGGTGTGTTGTGTAGGGGTGGTGGGGGTGGGGGGGTGTTTGGGGGGTGGGGTTGTGTTTGGGGGGGTGTGGTTGTTGTTTGGTTGTTGGGGGGGTGTGGGTTGGGGGGGGGGGGTGGTTGGGGGTGGGGGGGGTGTGGGGGTTGGTGTGTTTGGGGGGTGTGTGTGGTTGGGTGGGTTGTGGGTGGGTTTGTGTTGGTTGTGGTGTGGTGGGGGGGTAGAGTATTGGTTATAGTGGGGTGGATGGGTGTGGGATGGTGATGGGTGGTTGTTGGGGGTAGGTGGGAATTGTAGATAGTGGTGTGGGGGTGTTGGGTGGGGTGGGGGTGGGTGTGGGGGGGGGGGGGGTAGGTGTGGGGTTGTTTTTTGTGGGTGGGTGGTTGTGGTGAGTGGGGGGGGTTTTGGGGGTGGTTTTTGGGGGGTGTGGTGGGGGGGTGGTTGGGTTTTTTTGGTGGGTGTTGTTTATTAGTTTGTTTTGTGTGTTGGTGTGTGTTGGGTTTTTATTGGTTTGTGGTGGGGGTTTGGGGGGGTGGGGGGTGGGGGTGTGTGTGTGGGGTTGTGGGGTGGATTGGGTTGGGGGGGTGGGGGGTTTGGTGGTTGGAGGGGGGGGTGGGTTGTTGTGGGGGGTTGTGTGGTTTGTGGTTGGGGTGTTTTGGGGGGGTTTGTGAGGGGTGTGGTGTTGGGTGTGGTGGGGTGGGGTGTGTGGGGGGGGTGTGGTGGTGGGTGTGGGTTGTGGGGGGTGGGGTTGTGTGTGTAGTTGTGGTGTGGTGGGTTGGGGGGGGGGGTTTGGGGGGGTGGTTGGTTGTTGTGGGGGGGTGTTTTGTTTGTTGTGGAGTTGGGGTTTTTTGTGGGGGGGGGGGTGGGTGGTGTTTGGTGTTGGGGGGGGTGTGGGTGGGGTTGGTGTGGTGGGTGGGGTTGGGGGGGGGTTTGGGGTGGGGGGGGGTGTGGTGGGGTTGTTTGGTTGGTGGTGGTGGGTGTGGGGGGTGTGTGTTGGTGGTGGTGGTGGGGGGGGGGGGGGGTTGGGGGGGGTTGTGGTGGGGGTGGGGTGGGGGGGTGTGTGTGTGGTGGGTGTTGGTTGGTTATTGGTTTTTTGGTTGTTGTGTTGTGGGTGGTGGGGAGTGTGTGTTGGGGGGGGGTGGGGGGGGGGTGGTGTTGTGGTTTGGTGGGGGGGGGGGGGTGTGGGGGGTGGTTGTTTGGTGTTTGTTTTGGTTGGGTGTGTGTTGTTGAGAAAGAGGGTAGGGTGGGAAGGGGTGGTGGAATGATGGTATGTGGTGTGGAGGGTAGTTGTGGGGGATTTAAAGTTGTTTGTAATTAGAGTATTGTGAGTTTAGGATGGGGGGTAGAGGGGGGGGGTGATGGGGGGATTGAGGGGGGTTTTTGGGGGTGGGGATTTTGAATTGGGTATGTAGGGGAAGTTGGTTGTTTATGTGATGGAGTATGGGAGATATGGGGGGTTGGATATTAGGGTTTTATGGGGGGAGATGGGGTGTAATTTTGGGGGTGTGTTTGTTTGGGGTAGGGGGAGGGGTTGTTGGTGTGGGGGGTGTGGGAGGGGGGGGGGGGGTGGTGTTGTGTTGGGTATTGTGAGGTATATATTTAGGGTTTTTTTTGTGGTGGGGGATTTTTTTTGTTGTGTGTTTGTGGTGGGTGGTGTTTGGTTTGGGTTTGGGGTGGTAGTGGTATGGTGGGTTGTTTAATGGGTGGGTTGTTTGTGTGGTTTTGGGTTTTGGTGTTGGGGTTTGGTGTTTGTGTGTTTGAGTTTTTGGTTGGTTTTTTGTTTTTGGGGGTAGGTGGTTGGGTTTGTGATTGGGGGTGGTGGGGGGGTGTTTGGTTGGTGGGTGGGGTGTGGGTTGTGTTGTTGGTGGGTTGTTGGGGGGGTTGGTGGGGTGGGGTGTTGTGGTGTGGGGGGGGGGTATTTGTTTTATTGGGGGTGGGGGTGGGGGAGGAGGGGAGGGGTGGGTTGGTTGGTGATGTGTGTTGGAGGTGGGTGGGTGGGTGTGGTGTTGGTGGATGGTGTTTGGAGGATTGGTTTTTTAGGGGGGTGGTTTTGGGTGGGGGGGTTTGGGGGGGGGTTGTTGTTGGGTTGGGTTTGGGGGGGGGGGGTGTGGGGGGGGGGGGGGTGTGTTTGTGGGTGGGGGGGTTGGGGGTTTGGTGTGGTGGTGGTTGGGGGTGGGTGTAGGTGTTGGTGTTGGATGGGGTTTGTGTTGTGTTGTTGTTGTGTTGTTTGTTGGGGGTTGTGTTGGGGTGGGGTGGTGTGGGTGGGTGGTGGGGTGGGTGTGGTGTTTTTGTGGGTGGGGTGGTGTGGTTGGAGGGGGGGGG